TGACATGATGAGCAATGTGCTTTCTCTATGCCTGCATTGTGCAGTGCTGGGGGTGACCAGAAGTGCCCTGCCTTAATAACTCACCAAGTCCCCTGGGGAGACAAAGCAAACCCTGAAGAACTAAGGTCTAAGTAATGACAGGGGTATGTGATTAAGTGCTTCATTGAGTGGTAAAGACAATGAGCCAGGGAAATTCTCAGAGGGGGCTTTAAGGTAAACAGCTCAAAACTTTCCTGTTCGACAAATGAGAATACCCCTCCCACTTTTATAGGAAACATATACTTGTTTTGTTTCTTGGCTTCTGCTTACTCATCTAATTTGCTTTGGCCAAGGAAATAGTAGGCTGAGATATAAGGATCACAGTTCGAAAGCAGCCAGGGCAAGAAAGACCATAAGACTCTTATATCCAATTAGCTACCAGAAAACCAGAAGTGGTGCTCAAGTGGTAGAGTGCTAGCCTTTAGCAAAAGAAGCTTAGGAACAGTGAGCAGGCCCAGAGTTCAAGCCCCAAGAGTGACAAAAATTTAAAAGACTTCAAAACGCAGTTGCTCTATTGTGCTTTTGAGCCTTTTTGTCTTGAGATTTCTGAGGAGGAAAATCATACCCTCTTAGGTTATTCCTGGGGGCTTGAGAACTAAATTAACAAAAGAGATGAACAAGAGGAAAGGCATATAATTGTTATAAATATGTGTCAGGCACAGGCGTTTATAGGAGAAAAAGTTGAAGTGTGAGCACTAGTATATATACTTTTTTTTTTTTGCCAGTCACTAAATCAACTGAACTATACAGTTGACCTACACATTTCTGGGTTAGAAAGTATTTCATGTTTGCCTATCACTTGGTATATTATAACAATAGTTTATCCCTCTGCGAAATGGGGAAATGGTATATCTTTAACTTGGAGTGGTATTGTGAAGATTAGTGAAATATAAACCAAAGGCCTCAGATTTCAACACTCTGAGACTGCTACTGTGGTCACATGATGCAGCTACCTTGTTTGGAATGATTCCTCTGCTCAAGGGGAAAGTCCCCTCCCAGGAGAGGATCCATAGATAGCTGATGTGCTCTGTATCATGGTGTCCCCCCCCTCCCTCCTACCCCCACCCCCACCCGGACCAATGAGCAGCTGGAGCTCCACTCTGCCAGGGTACTAATCCATGATCAGGTCCAGGCTGATCATCTGTGGAAGTACAGTGGAGACTCACCAGCAAAGAGCACTGGACTTGTATTTCATGATGCAAGACGACCCAACTCACTTATTGACTTAACAGCTATCTATTGTGAACCTTATACGTGCCAAGTGGTGCATAGAGGCATGCGAAGCCAGATGCAGGAATTACAGTAATTGCTTTTGATCAGGAAATGAAAAGAGAAAATGTTCTTCCTCTTACTTGTCCTCAGTACTGAACTCCACGGTCTGGTCAAGACCCAGAGAGTCAGAATTTAGTAACTCTTCAAATTTGTTTGAAATGCTTCTACAATGACAAGTTTAGAAGAAGAACCTTCATCTGCAGCAGCAGGAACTCAAGCCTGTTCTACCTGAGCCCTTAGGGTCTCTGACGGGATTGGATGAGAAGACAGCACCTTTGCGCTTCTCATTTTCAGCTCTTGATAGTTTTCATTGTATTGGATGCCTCTGCTTCCCATTGGTTCTGCCCAGGTTGCTCTGCCCTCTCATTGCTGTTGCCAGTGTCACGGTGGCCACCTTTTCGACTGCCATCACTTTTTCCATTCTCTTTTTGAGGTACCAATGATAAAGAGCAAAAGTAGGCAAGAAAAGACCACCAGAGAGAAGCATTTTGATTATGTTTATTGCTGCAACACTAAGAAGCAGCACAGGAAGATGTCTCCCGGGCAGTTCCTAAAGTGAGCCTAATGGTCCGTTTACTTAGCCAGAAATAGGGTGTGGCAAGGGTGTCTGTACCAATCAGAGTAGTCCATGGCAAAAGAAGGGTTACGTTTGCACCAATCAGAGCACAGGCCCTCATTCAACACTCTGTCTGGGGTTTGCTCCTTGGTTTTTTGGGCTTGTCCTAGCTGACCATATCTCTGGTCGACTTCATGGTTCTGATGTCTTTCAAAGCCCAGTCTTTGCTTCCCTTTTCACTTCTGGGTAGGAGAGAGAGAAAGCTTGGGGCGTGGGGGGTAGGGAAGTGGGGAGAGAGTATGTGTGTATGCCCTGGGCTACAGAGTGACAATATGTCCTGGCTGGCTGAGCTGGAGGAAGTCTGAGCCCCGCTGGCTCTTGATGATTGATCCAGACTGTCTTGATGGGGTGAATAAGAGCAGCTCTCAGCCCAGGGCGCCAGGCAGGGTTTCACGCCCTTGTTTATGCGGTCTTGCCAAGGTTAGAGAGGTAGGCATGACCTTTGGTGTTTCTCCTGCCCCCTATCAATACAAGACTCTCTATTCCTCCCACTGACTCTGGAAGCTGTTTGCAGCTCTGAAAATGATCAGACGGCCACTTTCAGCCTCTTGACCCGAGGGGAAAGCAACCGGCCTTTGGGTGGCCGCAGCCGAGGTTTTCTTTGCAGTGTCTTGAAGGCAAGTCCAGGGCTGAGGAGAGCCAGCCTTTCCTAAGCTCATGCATGGCTGACTTTCTGGGTCATTTTAACCAAACTTGGGGCCAGGCGCTTTCTCCCTCCCTCTCTCCCTCCCTTCCTCCCTTCCCCCTTCTCTCTTTCTCCCTCCCTCTCCCTTCCTTCCCCCCTTCTCCCTCCCTCTCCCTCTCTCTCTGACAACAGGAGCCTTCAGCTCCCAGTCTCCTTCACTGTTTCCGGTAGCAGACACACAGGTGCTGCCTTGGTGCCATACCCCGTTGTCCCCATTCCCTAAGTTCCCTTTTTCTGTTGTTTCTGTTCCATCCTGCAGGCAGAGAGAAGTGTGTTTTCTCCTCTATTTCCCTAGTCACAACTGCCACGATTGTCCAGAACACTCCGAAAGAAAGAAAGAAAGAAAGAAAGAAAGAAAGAAAGAAAGACCTTAAGTTCTAATCAGTTTTTTATATCATCTTGATCTTTTCTAAGTAGATATAAGGCTCGTTTTATCTTCAATGGGATTCTAGAAACTACTCAGAGTAAACTCACACAAGAAAATTAACAATCAAATTAGTGCCTTCCTTGAGGTACATTTGATCTATAATACATTGCACATATTTAGCTGGATATTGTAGTACATGCCTGTAATCCCAGCTACTATATAAATAGAAGCAGGAGGGTTATGGAGCTTGAGGCCAGCTAAGCAAAGTTAGCAAAAATACAATTATTATTATTGTGCTGGGGCTCAAACTCAAGGCTTCAGGAATGCTAGGCAAGTATTCTGCCATGGGGCCACACCTTCAGCCTCTGGATTTGGGTCTTTGTTTCAGACAGATTCTCTCTAAGTAGTTCAAAACAATCTGAGAGATGGGTTTACAGGTTTACCACCTGGGATTATGGTTTACTACCTCAGCTGGTTACGGTTTAGATCTTAAGTATCTCTCAAAGAGGCACAAAGTTTTGGGCACTATTCTGTGGCACTCTGGAGTTGGAAGAAGAATTAAAACAAAACAAAACTTGTGTCCAGCTGGGTGCCCGGTGGCTCACACCTGTAATCCTAGCTACTCAGGAGCTAAAATCTGAGGGTCAAGGTTCAAAGCCATCTTGAGCAGGAAAATCCATGAGACTCTTACCTCCAGTAAACCACTCAGAAAACCGGAAGTGGTGCTGTGGCTCAAGCGGTAGAGTGCTCGCCTTGAGCTGAAGAGCTGAGGGACAGCACCCAAGCCCAGAGTTCAAGCCCTATGACCGACAACAAACAAACAAACTTGTGTTCAAGCTACCCAGTATGTGACCCTTAGTTGTGGCCACCTCATCAAGCTAATCTATTTGGGTTTCTTGGAGCTGAGGAATGGGGCTCAGGGTGAAGGTTCCGGATCAGTGTTATGAGATGGACAGTGAGAAGCTGGATTGCAGCGATGCAGAGTTCTGGAGCAAGGATGCCCTGTGGGTTCTCCCAGTTTGAAGAAAGGGGACTTTCCTGTGTTGATTGTTCTTCTATGCAGGGGACAGTGGGGTGGATGGGACTTTTATTCCCAAGGGAGTATTTGGCAATGTCTGTTACAGCTGAGAAGAGTGGGTACTAGTGATATCCTATAGCGGCCAGATGTGCTGCATAGCATCCCACTTACACAACAACCCCCTGAAACAAAAAGCCATCAGTCCAAATGTCCATAGGTCTGTGACTGAAAAGCCGTGCCCACTGTGAGCCCATGGCTATGGGCTGCACTTGCCAAGGCATGACCTTGAGCAGGACCTGCAGTCCAATGTGTCTTCCAGGAAGGAGCATCACTGTGAGTTCTCAGCAGCCCAATTCCCAGCAGCTGTGGGTGAGTGTGCTTTTTGAAGAGTTCTGGACAGTGCTAAGTCTCCATTCCCCGCCCCTCCATTCCACTCCTCCTTTCCCTCTCCTCCTCCTAATAGTAACAACAATAATAACAATGACCTGGCCACACCCAGGACCTTGTCCTGTGGGCTTGACGCAAACAATCTCACATAAGCTTCATGAGAGGCTCTTTTACAGCACAGAACCAAAGAGGGTCCTTTCAATCATGCCCCAAATCTGCCGAGTTAGTAAGTCACAGACACAGAATTTGAACCCATGACTGTTAGATACCTGGAATCTGTTCTTTTGCTAACAATCAGGGATAACCTTTGGGGAAATCAGAGCAGCAAAGGAAGGAGGAAGAGGGCCAACCGTGGATTTATTCTAGAATTAATGGCAAGCCCCAAAACAATGCATCCTGCAGTGCAAACATCACATGCCGACACTGACTGAGCTCAGGGTTCCGGGAGAGGGGCTGCCGGCCACCTCCATCACTCATGTTAATGGTTACCAAGAAACAGTACCTCCCCCAAGGGGAATGTGAGGGAACTTAGCACTTTGTATCCTGACCACAGAAACTGATAAAGAAAAGAAAACCAATTTCCGGTAGTCAAGTGTATAAAAATAATTTTATTTACTACTGTAAATAAAGTAGTGCAAAGAGTAGTTTGGACCCACAATATTGCATTACTGATTTATTTACTACCTTAGCAGCATACCGTAGTCAGACATTCTGCCCTTGCTTGTCCTCTGACACACGCATGCGCACACACATATACATACCGACACACACATGTGCATGCTCATGCACGCACACGCGCGCGCGCGCGCGCACACACACACACACACACACACACACACACACACTCCTATACAGACTCAGGCAGGCATAGAGGGGCTGGAATGAATCTATGAGCTAAAGGCTTGTTTTCTGCATATTGCATTGCCGCCAGTCTATCCTCATGGGTAATTCATGGAGAAGGACTACACTTAAATACTAAGGATTTGCTAGATGTTACTTTTAGGGACTGCAATAGAAACATAAAACAATGTCCTCCGATGATTTGAAAGCACTATGACCTTAGAAAAATTCAAGGGGAAAAAATGTAAACCAATTTACAAAACCATCGCCTTCCTTGTATTTCTAGCCACACACGATTCATTCCTAGATGCCTTCTAACTATTGTGTTTGGAAATCAAGGAGCAATCTGTCAAGTGGGCTATGGCAAATACTGGGAAGGAAACATTATGGGATTTTCTGTTCTCTGATAAAAGGGAATATACAAAGGATGAAGACACTTCCTTGTGTGTAAGCATCCTGCTGTAACACAGGGCAAACTCTGACTCCCAATCAATCACCAGGAACAAGTGTATGATGATCCGGTTATACAGATCCTTCTCTGATCAAGATATTCCTTGGATCTTGATAACCTCTGGTAACTGTCTGTTCTGGGAACATCCTTGTAATTTGATTAAAAGTGAAGAAAAGAAAAGAACAAGACACCAAGTGCAAAAATCTGTATCCAGCTGACAAGACTTTTAAGGTGTTGGTCAGTATAATGCCCTAGCTCCCAGCCTTTCAGTACCAGCTGTTATAAAGGTTTTTCTCTTGGCCGGGGAGATAGATCTGGATACACAGTTCACCCGTGTGGCTCAGGGTTGTTAGTGATTGAGGGCTGGTCCTGGTTAGAGATATCTGCAGCTGGAGGCACAGCTGGATTTGCTGTGGGCATGGTGGACTCTGGTGAGGCCCAGGCTGGTGCTGGAGGGGATCCAGTGGCTGCAGAGACAGGCACAAAATGAGGCAGAATATGTAAATTAGCATGTGAAAGGCTGCCCGCCCCCCCCGCCCCCCCACCCCCTCCGGTCTCCAGGAGAGATGTGAATCCAGGGTCATTATCTAGGTTCTCTGGACTTTGTTACATCCTTCTATAAAATGGTAGGTTGGAATGGATGTGCAAAGATCTCTGAGGTTCAGACATCCTGGGACCCAAAGCCAGGGCTTCTAGGCCCAAATCCCTCGGATCTGGGTGGTGGCCATACCTCTGGTTTTTCCATGATGATAATGCAAATTAAGCCATAAATCATTCCGTTGGGCCATGAGCCAAATTGTCTAGAAATTGTTTTATTTAAATAACTGTATATAAAAGTTTGCAAACAGCCAGGTGCCAGTGGCTCACACCTAGCTACTCAGAAGGCAGCCCAGGCAGAAAAGTCCATGAGATTTTTATTTCCAATTAACTCAGAAAGAGCTGAAGTGGCACTGTGGGCCAAGTGGCAGAATGCTAGCCTTGAGCAAAAAGAAGCTCAAGGACAATGTCCAGGCCCTGAGTTCAAGCCCCAGGCCCTGGGCACGTGCGCGCGTACACACACACACACACACACACACACACACAATTTGGAAACATAATTGCTAGGTTTAATTATTTATCCATTTATCTTTAGGAGTGCTTATAGTTTTTGTGTTTGTTGTTGTTGTTGCTATTTGTGGGGCTTGAACTCTGGGCCTGGGTGTTATTCCTGAGCTCTTCAGCTTAAGGCTAGCGCTCTACCTCTTGAGCCACAGTGCCACTTCTGGTTTTCTGTTGGCTAATTGGAGATAAGAGTTTCACAGACTTTCCTGCCCAGGCTGGCTTTGAACTGTGATCCTCAGATCTCAGCCTCAGTAGCTAGGATTACAGGCATGAGCCACTGGCACCGGCTTGTGCTTACAGTTTTATATGTTGGTATTACTCATTTTCAAATGAGAGTGGCTTTTGAGGTTATCTATCAGTGTCTAGAGATGCTGGTTGCCATAACCCCAGGATGGGAAGATGAAGTCTGGTGGGCAGAGCCCAGGGATGCTTCTAGGCCTCCTGGCATGCACAGGACAACCCCATGACAGAGAGCAGTAAGTTGTAAATGTCAGCTCCTGGAGCTGATAAGTCCTCCTGTATGTACTGAGATGTAGAAATGTTCAGACTGGGCTCTGGAGCCTGTCTGGTCTGTCCTATCATAGCTGTGTGATCTTGGACACGTTAGCCATCCTCCCTACCTCCAAGGAAAATGGAAGAAATCAAAGCATCTCAACCTCACTGAGCTGGTGTAGGGGTTGAACAAGTTAATATTTACAGAGTGCTCCAATCAATATCTGACATGAATGAGTACACTGGGCAAATGTTAGCTATGACCTGGGTTACTGAGGAAATGTGTTAAGATTTGTTCATTCCAGGCACGTGGCTTTACAGGACTGATAGTGAATTTGATTGTGTGATGTCTACAGTTCTCTTTGGGGCCACAAGAGCCTAAGAAAACAGCATCAACTTCAAAGCCAGAAAGGCCAGGAGACAAATAGTTCTGATGTTTATCAACTAGGTAAGCTTGAGCCAGTTTCTAAACTTCTCTGAGCCTTCGGATCTTTATCGGTAAATTAGGGGAAGCAATTTTCAGAGCTGGATGGTTAACTTAGTAAGCAAATTTTGTGCAAATAATTGTCACTTTGCCTTCAACAGGGATCCTAATTACTCTCAGCAATGTCCTGCTCTTCTGTTCTTAGTAAGTAGGTCTATTTTTTTCCTCTTTGAAACACAGTCTTACTATATAGCTCAGGTTGGCCTTGAATTCACTCCCTTTCCCTCAGCCTGCTGAATGCTGGGGTATGGCAACGTGCCTGGGATATGGGGCCATTTTGAAAGGTTCTCAAATATCTGTCGGGGTTCTATGATCCAGCCACAAGGTGTCAATGATTTGTAGGTAAAAGCCTTCAGGAGTTACGCCATGGCTGTGAGGAGCCAAAGGCCCTTGCAGGAAGCCCTGGTATGGACCTCACAAGCCCTTGGCTTTTCTGGACTTTTCCATCAAGCCTCTCCCAACACCTTCAGAAGAGGCTGTGGAGCCCGAGGCTTTTCTAAAAGAATAGAACAGTGGGAGCCGGGTACCAGTGGCTCATGCCTGTAATCCTAGCTACTCAGGAGGCTGAGATCTGAGGACCATAGTTCAAAGCCAGCCTGGGCAGGAAAGTCTGTGAGACTCTTATCTCCAATAAACCACTAGAAAACCAGAAGTGGCGCTGTGGCTTAAGCGGTAGAGCACTCACCCAGAGCTGAAGAGCACAGGGACAGCGCCCAAGCCCAGAGTTCAAGCCCCACGACCGACAAGACAAAACAAACAAACAAACAAAAAACAGTGGGGGGCTGGGAAGGTGGCTCAGTGGTAGAGTGCTTGCCTTGCATGCTCAAGGCCCTGGGTTCGATTCCTCAGCACCACATAAGCAAAAAAGAAAAAAGCCGGAAGTGGCGCTGTGACTCAAGTGGTAGAGCGCTAGCCTTGAGCTGAATTGCTGAGGGACAGCGCCCAGGCCCAGAGTTCAGGCCCCAGGACTAGACCCCCCCCCCCAAAAAAAACAAAACAAACAAACAAAAAACAGTGGGAGCCGGGTACCAGTGGCTCACGCCTGTAATCCTAGCTACTCAGGAGGCTGAGACCTGAAGATCCTAATTCCAAACAAGCCTAGGCAGGAAAGTCCTTGAAATTCTTATCTACAAGTAGCCACCCAAAAGCAAGAAGTGGAGTGGCCTAGAGTTCAAGCCTCAATATCTGCACCCAGACAAAACAGACAAACAAACAAAAAGGGTAACAAGGGGATGGGAAGATGGCTTAGTGGTAGAGTGCTTGCCTTGCATGCATGAGGCCCTGGGTTTAATTCCTCAGCATCACATAAGCAAAAAAGCCGGAAGTGGCACTGTGGCTCAAGTGGTAGAGGGCTAGCCTTGAGCTGAAGAGCTGAGGGACAGTGCCCAGACCCAGAGTTAAGGCCCCACGACCGCCCCCACCCCCCAAGACCACTTGACAGCAGTCAGGAGACCTACTCTAGAAAATCTCAATTATCTGCCACTAACTCACTTTGGATGGATACGGAATGGTGGATGCTTCAGTTCTAAAGTGCCTGAATCCCATAGGACTCCGTTTCCTCCCCTGTGAATTGTGGGACCCCGATGGTGTGCAGATCTACTTGGTCCCCAGGCTTTATCTTTCTGCTGATCTCCCTGGATGTGAATTCCACACTGCAGCCTGGAATTGTTCGAGCTGAGGGAAATGTTTAAATCACCATGGTAACAAGATAACTCAGCAATCACTTTTCTGATTAAAACAAAAAGTGCCAGTGTGTAAATGTAGAAGGAATGCCTAATTAGCACTGTCACCATTTCAACCTTCTGATAAGAACACAATAAAAACCTGCTAGAAGGTTTTGCAGGGAGTTTATTATCCAGTGAGAGCTGGATTGCAGGCTTTGTAATCACCCCCACTTCCCCCACCGTCTGTCCTAATTTTAAAGTGGTCCCTTTGTCTCTACTCACCTGGAAGCCATGCTAATTTTATTACTGGACTGGAATCAAGGCAACCAGGAAAACCAGTGCGCTGTTCAAAATGAATTACAGAGTAGATTCCAGAGCCAAATAAAAGGGATTTGTGGATTCTCTGTACATTAGTGAGCATAACCAGGGGTTTGCTCAAACTATATAGGAGCTAAAGGTAGCCCCTGTTTTTACATGGTCCTTGAGTTAAGGACTGGCTTTTACACCTAGAATGGGTGAACACAAACTAAAAAAGGAAGAAGAGAAGAAGAAGAAGAAGAAGAAGAAGAAGAAGAAGAAGAAGAAGAAGAAGAAGAAGAAGAAGAAGAAGAAGAAGAAGAAGAAGAAGAAGAAGAAGAAGAAGAAGAAGAAGAAGAAGAAGAAGAAGAAGAAGAAGAAGAAGAAGAAGAAGAAAAAGAAGAAGAAGAGCAGCAGCTGCTGCTGCTAGTGTAAGCCTATATTCCTAGTTACTCAGGATGCTGAGATCTGAGGATCGAGGTTCAAAACCAGCCCCAGGCAGAAAAGTCCATGAGATTCTTATCTCCAATTAATCAGCAAAAGGTCCAAAGTGGAGCTGTGGTTCAAGTAGTAGAGTGCTAGCCTTGAGGGAAAAAAAAAGAAAAAGAAAAAGCAAGCAAGCAAGCTTAGGGACAGCAATGAGCCCTGAGTTCAAGTTTTAGGACTGGCACCAAAAAAAAGTTTGAAGTGGAGCTGTGGCTCAAGTAGTACAGTGCTAGCCTTGGGCAAAAAGAGGTAAGGGAGGGCACCCTGGCCCGGAGTTCAAGCCCCAGTATCACTGCACACAAAAAAGAAAAGACTTTTGAAATTTAAGTAAGTCTGACATGGAGTTGGGCATCTGACAGAGATAGCCAGAAAACTCAAATAATTGCTTATCTATAGTTTTGCAGAAAAGTTTGCCAATCTCTGTTGGGACAGTTGTCTCCATCTGCTTGCCAGCTGGAAAGAACATGGGGCGTGCACTGAGTTAATGCTGGAATGGCAGAGTGCTTGCAAGAATGAGGTGCACCAGCGAGACCCTGGAAATCTCACACTTCACAGTGGCAGCACTCTGCGCTGGCACAGACTCCTGTCAACAGTTTAGAGTGTCAGGGCAATGAGCCAAGGCAACACAGGATGACCCGGACCCAGAAATCCCTGACTCGAAGGCCATTGCCTTCCTCCCCTGCCTTGTGCTAGGCCAGGAGCAGAGACTGTATTAAATGTAGATTCAGTGACAGAAAAAGAGCAAGGAAAGGCTTAATTAATCCCACTCAGATCATCTTACTCTTTTCAAAAGGATCTGGGGCTGACCATTCATCCAGAAAGGATAAAAAGGTTTAACTGGTTTAAATGGTGAATTCGGTGATTAGGATGGTCTAGGATGGGCTTGCCTTGTGGTGCTTTTGACTTAGACATTAACACCCAAACGGCAGGCTGAGTTTTCCTTATCTGAAATACT